CCCCCCCCCCCCCCCCATCCACCCGTCAGGCCGAGCGGAAGGACCAGGAGCTCGAGGCCCTCCGGGCGCAGCTGGCCAAGTCGAAGGGTGCTATGGAAGAGGTGTCGGCCCTCAGGGCCGACGTGGAGGACCTACGCCGGGCGGCGGAGTGCGAGCGAGAGGCCGCCGAGAGGGCCGCTGGCGAGGCCAGGCAGGAGGCGGACGTGGTCAAGCAGCTCAGGTGTGTGGTGCAGTTATTTAGGAAGCGTGCGTATGCGTGTGTGTGTGTTGTGTCTTTCATTGTTGGCATCGACCCCGCTAGCCGGCCGACCAATGAAAATAGGTCAGTCTCAGTGCGGTTGAAAACGTGTCTGTGTGTGCGTGTGTATGTGTTTTGTGTTGTGGACTAACTCGCGTGTTTTGGTATCTTCTCGTTTCGGCATGCTCGTGTGTGACTACTAGTGCTGTGTGTGTTTGTTGTGTGGCGTGCTTACTCGCGTCTTTTGGTTCCATATTGTTTGGGTACGCTCGTGTGTACCTCTCTCTCTGTGTGTTGGTGCCATGTGTCTTGTGTTTTCTTTTTTTGGAATCGACCGCGCTGACCGGCTGACTGACCAATGACAAAAGGGGTCTGTGTTTACGGAGTGTTGACGGCGGGAAACGAAACTGCAACACGGTTTCTGTTGTAGTCATCGGACTCCCCCTTGCTCTCTCTCTCTCTCTCTCTCTCTCTCTCTCTCTCTCTCTCTCTATGTGTGTGCTGGTGTACGCGCCGAGCCTGATAGGTGAGTAGACCGTGGGTGTTTGTTTGCAGCGTTGTTCGAAATTGGTATATGGCCTGCCACGTAACGCTTTGACCCACTCATCCGCCTTCCGCCCTCCCATCCTATCCCTATTTCTTTTTGTTTTTCTTCCCCCAGGGAGGAAATCCGGGTGCTTCAAGCCGCTGCCGAGCAGCCTCGCGTTTCCGCGGCGGCGGCGGCGGCGGCGGCGGCGGCGGCGAGTGCACGAGGACCGATGACAGGCGCAGTGTCCCGGCGCGGGAAAATCGCCGCTCGCACTGGTATGTACGGGGGTCAGTGACTAGATATCATCCAGGATAGATTTGTATTGTTCCAGTCGGATTTCTTGCTTTTCCTCGTCGTCGGTCGAGCAAGTCTGACATTGAACGCAACCTCAACTCCCTTGTAAGAATCGAGCGCCTGGTGGTCGCACGCGTCACAGGGTGCTGTATGGTGTGTTTTTTCGAATCTCAAGAAAGTCAGTTAAGCCTTCCTTACGTGGCAGCTTTGGGTCAATCATCTGTTGGGTTGGAAGATCGGTCTGGCTTTGTCGCGCGTGGCTCGTGGAAGGGTGGATGAACCTTAATCGTCTTGATTTGAGTTTTCCGCTCAAGACGATGATGCAGCACTCAACCCCAGTGCCCCCGGTTGCCTCACACTCACACACACAGAATAGCTTAGTCTCCCCCATGTCGCCCCCTCACGGGGCCCCAGTTCATGGCATTTAGAAGTGTTTTTGTGTTTTCAACGGCACTGACACTGACGTCCTTTCATTGGTCAGCCGGTTAGCGCGGTGGATGCTAATAGTAACGACACACACACACTTTGCTAGACTCCGTCTGTGTCTTTGCTCGGGGGGGTAGCTTAGCCTCCCCCAGGACACGCCCCCTTACAGAGTCCCAGCTCATGGCCTTTTGAAGCATTTTTCTGCGTGTTCGGCAGCGTTGAGGCTGACGTCAATTCATCGGTTAGCCGATTAGCGCTGTCGATTCTAGCACTCTAAAACATGCACACAATTGTACGAACGGGAGAGTGTTCGTGCGTGGTCACTAAGAATGTAGAGTTGAAGGCAGACGGCTTTACGTTTTCCATAGAAGAAGGGACGTACCTAGTATGGTATATCTTGGATGAGTTACGGTGCCCCTTAATGACACCCGTTAGCCTGCGTGTATGGCACTCTCCTCCCTCTCTGTCCCTGCCTTCCGGCGTCCTGGAGAACCCATGCCATAAATGTAACAAGCGGCAAACGAGGCATCCAACGCACTTCTGTACACGGCTCAAGATTATACGAACACTCCACTTCAAGTATATTAAAAACTTCTTCTGCCGGGAATGCCTGCGCCAGCATCCATGTCAGGAGGAGCTGCGAAGGAGGACCTCGCTGTCATCTAAACGCGGAGAAGTACATCAGACGGAACGCCCGTGACACAAGAGGATCTTGAAAGATCTTTCGTTGTTTTTCCCCCGGTTGACACTGACGTCTGTTGATTGATCAGCCCGTCCACGTGGTCAACGAAACTCACACACTGGCATCTTTACCCCGGTCCGCCGTTCAACGCTGACGATGCTACCGCCCCTTAGCTAAAAAAGCAACCACCGCATATTATAAATGCACACCGTTTTTTATTTTTTTGCTTCCCGTCAGACATCGGCGGCGGCGGCGGCGGCGGAGAGGACACCGACGGGTGGGGGGAGGACGAGGACGACAGCTGCGGGGCCAGCGTCAACACCAGCAGCTCGGGGGTGGTCGTGGACCGTCCCCTGTCGGCAACGTCCCCTTCCGGTGACGGCGGAACTCCGCGATCCCAGGGCGCCGGCCGCGGGAGCGTCGAGGGTGACGGCGGCGGTGGACGCGCCAGCGGCATTGCTGGGGGAGGGGCCGAGGCTTCCCTGTCCCCGGGTGGCGGGCGGTCGCGCAGAGAGGGCGGGTGCGGCAGCGGCGAGGGGGATGGCGAGGATGGTTGGGAAGGGTGGGATTAGTCGCCCTTTATTTGGTGGGGGGGGGAGCGCTACGTGTATCGAGTCTTTGCCGTAGGTGTTCTTTCCGGGGGAGTTGCGTTTTGCCCGCGGAAAATGGTTTGATCGGTCGGTAGTTTCATGGCTGGGTTTGCTATTGTGAAATCAGCATTGTAATGACCACAGTTTGCCAGACCGTCGGGGTTGTTTTTTTTGTGCATATGGCGCAGTTGTCGGTTACTGCTGTGCCTCAATACAGTGGTAGAAATATTCGTGTAGTGCTGAAAAACACAGCTGTGCTGCCGTTTGTCGTTTGCCATCTCCCGTCGCCCCCGTTGAGGCCTTCTGTCGCGGTTTGTTTGGCGTGTTTGATTTTGCGCCCCCCGCCATGCTGGGTCGGTCTACCCATTAGTGTGAGGAAAACGTGGCTGAAGAGTATCCCGGGGGTGCCGCAACATCATCCAGGGGTAGACTGTTTCGGGTCCCATTTTTGCCAAGAAGGTCGTCGCAGGCGTCTCAAGAATGCCCCGCCCCCCCCCCCGCATTGTGGCCCGTTGGGTAGTTTAGGAATTCCACACACGCGCCGGGATCTCTCTGCTCCATGTGTCACCCATTGTGTCATATTTCTAGTTAAGAAGCCTTCTCTTTTTTCGTTTCGGCCACCTTCTGTTGGCCGTCCGCCGATCTACCATTTGTACAGAAAAATGGCGTGTCGCGGGGGCCGTCGGCTTCCCCCTCTCTATTGCTTGCAGCCCCGAGCTTTCGGTACGTGATGCGATGTATGTGTGTGGGCATGTATCTGTATTTTGTTTTGCTGTTTGGTCGCTTTTCAGTCTGTTCGACGCCGGCGAGACAAGGGTTGATTGTGGTTGTTCGCGTACGTACGGGCTTTTTCTACGGTGGTGGTGGCAAGTGTGCGCCGTAGCATGCTGGCGGTGATGGCAGATGTGCCGTGCGGGTGCGCATTGTATTTACCAGCGGCGAAGGGGATGTGTCGCGTTGTATGACCTACGGAAATTGTGCTTGGGAGTTGAGTACAAAAGCGGAAATTCAACCGTTTTTTTTTTTTTTTCTAGAAAGGTGTACCCCTCTTTGGGAAGTGGGATTGTGACCACACAAGGCGTCTGTCTGCGTCAGTTGGACCAGTACGGATATTGGAAGGTATAATGAGCGGAGATCGGAACGTTTTTTTATCGTGAAGACAACAACAACATTAACCCCCGAACGAGCACGCGGAGGTCTCACTCGGCCGAAACATGATCAACACGACTCACGGGTGATGTTGTTCGGTTTATATTGCTAGGAATTGCTGGGAAGCGGGAAATATCTCGATACATTATTTCCTACCCTTTTACAGCGAGTACTCGTTGGACGGGTGTGGGACATACATAGTATTGGTATGTGTTTTCGTGCCATCTACCCTGGCCCCCAAGGCCACAACACGCGTATCCTTCGGTAAAGTAGACTATCTGTCAGCCCGGGATCAAACAGGAAGGAAACTCAATATTTTTTCCGTGTTTCTGTTCTCCAACCCTCCTCCTGCGGTGCTTGCCTTCAACGTTCAATGCGAGCGATGCACGTAAAAGTGAAGAAAACATTCGGGCGCGGGGAGAACGAATGACGAACAACGCGGAACAGCGTACAGACATGACAAGTTTTGAGACACCCCCCCCCTGAAGCCGAATGTAGCATTTTTTGCCCGGCCGTATGCATAAGATGATAGGTGACTACTGTTGAAGCAAGATTGTGGGTGATTTCGGGAGAACCTTCACAAATCACGATAAACGGAAGCTTGGAGCAATGAATGTGTTATGAACGAACAAAAAAATGACCAGCACCTACCTCCCTAAATAAAGTACCCGCCACCAAATCAAAGTAAGGACTACGCGTTCGAGATACTGTAGCACGAAAACACCCCGTTCAAAGGGATATGCATTGAATGGATTCTGTACAGCTGTACAGAGGTGAAGGTTGAGAGAGGGAAACCTGCTGGATACTGGATACCTTGATACGGTACAAATGTGACGGTTCGGCGAAACGTGATGCGAAAATGCGGTACAACATGTGGTGCTTCGGCGTAATTTGCAATCTGAATGTCATTTTTGACCACATCCCGTTCGACTGTGGGTATGTCTCGAATGGGTAGTCTTTATGTGTGTGTATTTATCTTTCCTTAATTTCCATGAGGTTCGTTTTCCTCGTTGAGCGTTGAGCGATTGATGACAAGAGTGATCGTGACGAGAGTTATCACGCCACCCCACACCATTCCCACAGCACCACCGCACCAAAATCACCCGCGATCGCAATCAAGGCTTGGGAGCAGGTGAGTGGGGGTCATGAGTCTGACTGACAATCGACGAGAGAGGCGGAAGTACCACAAACGACACGATACGTCATACCGTAGTCTACACCGCGCGCGAGTGGTCTACGTGTAGATTTAGAGTCCATCGTAAAGTGTATGCACTCCGTTCACATCGTTGGCGTACAGGTACTTCGAGACGCCTGCCCAACGCTCATCCTCACCGTGTACCCAGAATAGTTTGTCCAGTCACCACGATATGATGAGGAAGGGTAACTTCACAGAGTTGTCCTAGCCCGCAGAGGCTACAGCGGCGTTGGTTGTAGCAGCCTGGATTGGGGCGAAAAGGTCACATTATTGTGCCGGCGCGGCACTAAGTATGGCAGCAGGTTCGTAGACTTGCAACACCGAACCAGACGTACCGATCGCATCATCACTGTACTCCTACCCTCTTCCTTGCACCGGAGATGGGCCAATTGCCGCCATCTTGCTTGGTGATGGACTGCACCGATTGTATCGGGAGAATGCTGGTCTCTAGCAGTCGTCAGTGAAAGCGGTGACCGTTCTCGGTGGAACCTAATTAATATGTTCCGATGTACTTCGAAGCACCTCTATCATGCGGCAAAGGCGCCTTTGGGTGTCCACCTCCCGTCCACAAAGAAGACGACACAACGAAGAGTAAAAACCAACGTAGCAGCAGGAAAACGCCCCGGGGGCTTAACGAGCAGCTGGATATTTACATCGTACTCACGATATCTGTATAATGGAGAGAAACCATTAGTGATGGCTTGACAGCCGGATGATCGTTGAAAACAACCAAGATCGGGAGGGTCACGAGATTAGATTGCCGCAATCCGCATCTACTGCCGTATGCATTCATGCTACACGTGCTGGGGGCGGTTGGTCGGTGCTGAAGTTGACAATGGCATCTGATTCGGAAAAAAATAATAAAAAACGCATCTCGGCACCTTGTACCTTCATCAACGTACCCTTCATTGATTGTTCGACGTACGTACGGACTCAACCAAATCGCGACGTTGCGCCACAACGTAAAATATTAATACTTGAGCTCGCCATCCTTACAAAAATCAACGCAGCCAGCTGCTACCAAGACATGAACATTCCCTAACAACGTGTGTGCGTATGCGGTCGCATGCCGAACCATGTGCGCGGGTCTCGTTTCCGCTTGTGGTTTGTGCGTTTTCGTGCTTCTCAGGCACAGCTCAAACACACATACATCCGCCACGAGACGAACACCCGCAACAAACATGAAGTCTTCCATGATTGTGTCAGCCCTCTTGGGGCTGCTAGTACCCGGCTCCGCGACGATGGCAGAAACTGCCAAACAGCAGCAGATCGAAATCCCGGAGGGAGGGTACACCTTCAAGATCAGCCACTTCGACGATGGGCGCGCCACTCCGTACCGGGTGTACTTCTGGGACACGTTCCTCACTGGCTCGAGCTACAGGTTCACCCTGGACGGCGACGTTCGGTACTTCAAGGCGGGGAGAGAGCAGTACAAAGACCGTGAAGACAAGGAGGACGGCTCTATCAAGTTCACGTCCACGCCTTCGGAACCAAGGAAGGACCTCAACAAACTCGAGCCAAAGCCGACCGACTTCCCCACCTACAGCTGCAGCGACTGCACCACCACTTTGCAGGCCGTCTGTCACTCAGGCCTGCCAAAGTTCTGCAGCACGATCGACCGTTCCTGCCTCGGCAGCGACGGGACCCTCTCGGTAAGCATCTTGTGCAACAACTATGAGCGCGCGTGTGCCTCCGCGAATTCTGTTTGCTCCGACATTTGCGCCGAGGAATCCAGTGATGACTCCAGCGACGACTCCAGCGATGATTCCGGCGATGATTCGAGCGATGAGTCGAACGACGATTCGAGTGATGGATCCGGTAAGTGTAGCGAATGATAGAGGCAATGTTGTAGCGCGACTAAACGTTGTACTAATACCTCAAGAGGTGCGCGAAGCGCCTTAACACGTCTGTCGTATGGGATGAACGAACCCGTTTAATGTTGTGCCATCGCATAGCGGCGGGGCCTCAACTCGTGCAGCCCGTGTTGAGCAAGTACCGCAAAGCTTGCAGTCAGATGCTGATGCGCAAGAGGACTCCCCTGTATTCATGCTGAGTGTATGTACCCTTGCTTGCGGCCCAAAAGAGGCTCAAAGGAAGAAATAGTGTACGGCGGGGGAAAAACGAAAGCGGGAGTGGGCGCGCGCACGGCCGGCCTCTAGATCCATCCGTCAAATCCAACAACCAGTCTCGAGCTACGTAACCTTGATCTTAACTACAACGACTTCGACACATACGTACACCATCCTCTGGGACTATGTAAGGTAGGCCGTCCTTCAAGACAGATGGGTACTGTAGTACATGTGTTGACACGAAACGACCAGCGGACTCTCGATAAAACGATGGAACGCAGTGGGATCGCACATACCTGAAATAATATAGCGGTGCATGTCAGTGCACAACATACCGAAACAAAAACCGTCATGACGCTGAGGGTCCACATCTAAACACGAATAAATGACCTAATCCGCAACCCGCTCCCCGGGCCTCATCACGCCTCCGAACAACAGGCGAGGGTACTGCCACTTGCGCCAGCCACGGTGTCGTCGGCATTGAGTCCTCGAACAAGAAAGTGTGTTGCGATGTGCGATGCGGAACCTGCGGGGGGGTCGGGTGCTCCAAGTTCGGCGAGGCGTATGGTCTCGGTGAATCCTCCTGCTGTGCAAGCACGTGAGCATGCATTTCTCGCTCAGTTTCAAGTAGCCCCCCCCCCCCCCCTGTGGTTGGCCCCTGGGGTGGGGTTTCAACCCTTGGCAACGACATTGTAAAACC